TCCAATTCCAATCCCGAAATTACCAAAATGCCTCAGAATTTCTAATCTTCTTCAATGACCAAGTCTCAAATGATTTGAATACTCTCTTTCAAAATCTTCCTCCCAATAAAAATTAATTTGCTGCTTCAGTTCCTGGCTCTTTCCATGGACGTTTATTTCCAAACAAAGCTTGCATTTAGTTCATATATCTTCAGCATTGCCTTGGCTTTCTGAGCTGCCCAAAGAGCTTACTGGTAGAACTTGTGGTGGTTGGAAACAGGGGAAGAATCCATCATACGAATGGTCCAAGTGAAGTTGAAGATGCTTATAAGAGTCAGTTTATGATGGATTTGGAGGGATTTTTGCAAGCCAGAGCTCAAGAACTTGTGGGCAATGGATTAATGGCAATATGATGCAGGCTGCTCATGATGTAACTGATTTTAATGGTGAATTGCATCCTGGGAAAGATCTTGAACTCTTGGGAAGCTGTCTAATGTATATGATTAAATTGGTATGTAATTGAATTTGACTTCTATAAAACTTGTTTGGAGCTGCTTAATATAAGAATTTATAAACACTTTTATATAAATAGAGATAAAATTTTATAAAAAATTTTTTCATATACTTACCTCGTATTTTGAGGTTAATTATTTGATAGGACGAAACTCATTTAAAGTGACTAGGCCCATTTGGAATATTAGACAACTATTCTCTCACAATATGTTAATTTTTTTCCATACCTAAATATGATACATAATTTTTAGCCCTTATTTTTTTTATTTATAATATATAGATCAGAATTCTATGATGTTTTAAAAAAAATCTAAAAATACCTCTATTTGATTATTTGTCCCCCAACCCTAAATAATCTTTCCAAAATTTACCCATATTTAGCACATATTTGGAAAGAATAAAATATTATTCAGACATAAACAAGCTCCTTGGTCGGCAAAACTTTGGCAATTATATACTAAATTTAGGGATGGCACCGGACTATTATTTGTTATATACACCATCTGGTTTATAGCATAGAACTTTCTCTGCACCTCATATTGTCGGTTCAAAATGTAGGAAATTTGTAGTTTTAATAAGAAATATCTTTTATTTTACCCCAATGTTGGTTAATGTGCCTCCAGCAATTTTGCATGATAATTGTTGGTGTTACTTGTAGATAAGGGGAAAACCAAAAAATAATAATAATACTCAACTTCTTATGAGATTTAGGGGGGGAGGGGGAATGGATGTTCCTAATATGCGTTATATGTGTTGGAAGTATCCTGCATTATGAACTGGAGGTAGTAAGCTTTTGTGTGAAAAAAATAATTTAAGATTTTGGTTTTTTTTTCCCCAATGCAGGGACTCATAAGTAAAGAAAAAGTGGACAATTTCAATGTGCCCACATATCTCCCAAGCGACAATATTTGAAAGTAACAAAGACTTTAGCCTCCAGTAAATGGTCATAATGGATTAAAAGTGCTTATTCATGCCAAGCTTGGAAATTTAATGTTTGGAAGTGCTGATTGTGAAGCAGTTTGGAGATGTAATTGTTGATGAGCTTTTTGATCGTTTCAAAAAAAAATTATGGAATTCCCAGAAATCATTAGTAATCCTAAATGTAAGAGGCACCCACTGTATGTTCTTCTGAAGCGAAAGTTGCATGCATGAAAAGACATATAAGTTCATTATTGATATATTTCAGCTAGTGTAAGAAGAAATTAATTGACTCAAGTCTTTACCTCAATGGGAACAAGCCAATAAATTATGAGTCAAGTTGTGATATATTACTTTCGCTTCTTAATATAAGAACTCATTTAACTTTTATTTTGGTCCTAAATATAAGATCCTAATCCATTTTGTCTTTCATATTTATCTTTTTTTTTCCTAAGATAGTCCTTGTAATGATAATAGTTCTAACCAATACACTTGATTAATAAGAATATTTTAGGAAAGATAACACATATTTATTACAAATAACTAACTTAACTAATTTTCTTAATTTACTTGAATTAGTTAACTAGCTTTTATATTAAGGACCGGAGGTAGTATTTACTAATGCATTCCCTTATTGATGTGTGTTCTCTCCGAACTTGTGATTACTAGTTGAATATAAAATGTATCGAGTCTTCTGTACAATTCCATAAAATTGGACTTATAAAGCCTAATATTTATTAGCTACAACAACAACAAAGCTTTATATCCTGTTAGGTAAGGGTTAACTACATGGATTGCATAATATAATTGTGCTCTATCTGTGATCAAGCCTTTGAATAGATTGTTAATTGAAAGCTCTCACTCACTATCTTCATTGAGTTTTTTTTTTTGTTGGGGGGCTAAATTTTATCCTAAAGTTCAGAAAAATTTTATGCAATGCATATTTTCCATTGATCTGACGTGGTAAAGGCAAGAGGTCCATGGTAAAAAGAATAAATAAATAAAAGGTTAGGAGGTGTTCAGTAAGGTTATGTGTAACTGACCGGACATTTGTATAATTTAGTCATATATATACATATATAAAATACTTGTATATAAATATTCGTATGCACATGACTAAATGGGAAATGACTTTATTGTCCTCATGTAAAAAAAAATCACTTCCTTGGTTGGCTAAAACCAGAGCTCAAGTAGGTTGTGTGGAATCCCAAATATAAAATCTAATAAATAAGATCTTATATTTAGAATTGGAGGTAACATACATCCATTAAAACATATACATCATATCAATGTTGGAGAATGGAATTTCTAAAACTGTTTAATTTTTGGTTTTGCTCACACACGCACATATATATATATATATATATATATATGGCTACAAGAAAGGTGTGCACTCCATCCCACCTTGCATTGGCCTGGCTTCACCATCAGGGAAACACTGTGTGCCGCGTACCTGGAAGCACCAAAATCGAGGACTTCGATCAAAATATTTGGGCTTTGTCCATTAAGCTGACGCGGGAAGAAATGGCGGAGCTGGAGTCTTTTCTGCTGCTGATGCTGCTAAGGGTGATGGATATCGGTTCGGAACCTCTCCTATTCCCTTTTCATCCTCTTCCCTCCTCTATTTTTTATAAACTTTGGATTATTATATTTTAAAAGTTCAGATTTTAATTTTTAAAAACTATTTATAAAAATTTTTAAAAATATTTAGTATATATGCAAACCATTGTAATTAAACTTCAATAGAGTTTATGATTTATTATTTGTTAATTTTTATAATTTAATATTTTAATAATAGTTTTAATAAGATTTAAATCTCAACCGTTAACATAATAATCTAATGATTTTAAAAAGAAGAGGAGGAAAGAGGATGAAAAAGAAAGAAGAGAGGTTCCGAAACGGATGTATAAGGGGATAGAGTAACTGCATGGAAGGAGTCTGATACTCTCCCACTTTCTTCTTGTGGAAAGCAGCATAATTAAGGAGGTTAATTCTTGTGTAAATTCTTTCAGAGTGTACATGGTTATATGTTTTTTGAAAGTTGTGAATCTATAGGGCAAGTGGGCAAGTGACTTCTATATGTTTGTATGTATAACTAAGCCGAGTCACCTGACATTTTCATAAACGGTCACTTGACTCCTATTATAAATGTTGTGAGCACCACCTTGGCAAATTCCTTTTGTTTTGTTTTGCACTGAGTTGCATATCGAATTTGAGTATTGTCCGAATTTACTGATAACATACTAGAAGGCGTTTAATATTGAGAGTATAAAACTTAAGAAGTAATCATCTAATTAGAGGCCCAACAACTCTTTCTAGATGATCAGAGAAATTATAATAAAGATTGTAATGGCTCACAAGTGCCGCCCAGTCCAAGCCAGTAGAAAAATGAAGAAATGTCAAGTGGTTTGTTGAGAACTAGACGTAAACTCAGATAAATAGAATTTAATTAAGATATATCGTAATTTTGCATTCTCACTGTCTTTTAATTCTTTGCAACATTTTTAGCATATCGATTTTATATTCTGTTTTGTGTTAAAAGAGACTATACTTTTAGAAATCCTACAACTATAGTTTTATAGTCAAAACATCCTTTTAGAAATCGTTTTCCAGACGTTTTTACTTGTGAATTAATATTTTTATTTAAATATTACTTTTTTAAGAGTTATATATAAAAATCTTTGTATTTTTAGTTGGATTCTATTATTTTAAATGATCGGTGTGACCTTGAATTATATACAATTTGAATCACTCATCCTTAAACCACTATCTCAATTAATTTATTAAACAATTCCATTTTCATACCTTGCTCCCCACGAAATATTGACTCAAGCAATCAACTTAGACTAAAGCAATTAAATAATTAATTATAATTCTCTCCCCACACAATCGACTCAGACTGAAACAATTTAAGCTATAATTCTCGAGGAGGGTTAGTGGATCATATTAGGATTAATTCATGCTCCACCTGGTCATAATTGAAATAATATATTTTTAAATATTTTTCATTATTTTAGATAATAATAATGAAAAAGCATAGAAATATAAATATAAAAAGTAGAATTTCAATGATATATAAAAAGTTTTTACAAAAATTTTAAGAAAAAGAATGGTTTAGAGTTCATCTAGTACTTTGAAATATCTTTTAAAATGCATCTAATATCTTACAATATTTTACCATATAGTTTTATATTTAAAGTATTTTTTGGTAGCATTAGTTTTGCTTGATTAAGTGCATGGAAATAGAAGAAATAAATCTTTTTTAGTGTAAAAAAGTCTAGGTGAGTTGGTTTCAAGGGCTTACCAAGTCTAATACATGCCTCCAGATTCATAGATCACTTATAAATATATAAATAGATTACCCATCAATAAAATTCTTATATCGACAAAAATATTCAAACTCATGACTTTATAAGTCATGAGCTAACTTGGTGAGGAAGTAAAATTTTATTAATAAAGTTGGTAGGAGAAAGAGAAAAAGCCAAAAGAGAAGGAAATTGAAGACTATAAAAGAGTGAACCTATGGGGGTACCCGAATTCAAGTTAAACCAAATACACACTTGTTCTCTACCCCGTTTCCTCTCATCTCATCGTAACAGCCCTCATCTCAATTCTTACAAATGGTGAAAGTGGGTCGGATCAAGCTCGGGTCACAAGGCATGGAAGTTTCAACTCAGGGACTCGGGTGCATGGGCATGACCTTTGGCTACGGGCCTCCGAAACCCGAACCCGACATGGTCGCCCTCATCCGCCATGCCGTCGAGAGCGGCGTCACATTTTTTGACACTTCTGATGTCTACGGCCCGCACACCAATGAAATCCTTCTCGGGAAGGTACTGTTCATACGAATTCTTCTCCCTTCGGTGATTCTTAAAGTTTCGGTTTTTTTTTTTTTGGTATAAAGACGATCAAGTTCTTTTTTTCTCTCTGTCTGAGTGAAAACTGAATGTGTTATTAACGAGTATTTGATAAAACCAAACTATAATTTGGAGAAGGGTTTTTAAGAGAAAAATTATTTTTAAAAATAGATTTTGAAAGAATAGATTTTATAAAAAGTGATTCTGATAAAGTAAGAATATTGCCATAGTTGTTATTAGAAACACTTTATATATGTAAATTACTAAAAAAGACATGAGTTAATGTGATAATTACATAAAAGATAAATTTTATAATATATTTTTATTTGAAGTAATAAGTTTGTTAATAATATATTTTTGCCAACATAATAAATAATATATAAAAAATTTAATTAATAAATAATTAATATGTGTATATGTATTTATAAAATATAAGATTGAATATGTTTTTAGAAAGATGATTAATTTTTTTCCAACAGAAAAATATTATTTTGCCATAAAGATTTTAAACAAAAAATTCCATGACATTTTTTCACAATTAGTTTTTTTTTTAAAGCAACATACTATCTCTGATATTTAATATAAAAGCCATTTTAATATTCAATTTGGTTTTATATATAAAATCTCAATCTATTTTGTTTCTTATATTTATCTATTTTTTTAAAACTAGTTTTTATAGTAGTTGCACATGTTAAATATTTCATTAAATGGTACTTCTAACTAATACATATAATTAGAAAGAGTATTTTAGGAAAGACAACACCTATTTATTACAAATAACTAACATCACTAATTTTTTTAATCTATTCAAATTAGTTAACTAGTCCTTATATTAAATATTAGAGATAGTATTACAATGTAAAAAAAAAAGATCACATTTTCAAAAAGCAACATTTTTTTGCTTTTGATGAAGCCATGTATTTAGGTGGGTCAAAGCATGGTTTTGAAACCAAACTATAATTTCATAAAAATGTGGGGTATTTGATAACTTTTTGGGTTAAATCATGATTTGGACTCTAAAAGTGATTTTAGCAAGTTAATCAAGGATCCCCTAAGAAACGAGCTAACAACAACAAAAGACATGCTTTCTTCCTCACCAACCATCTAAATTAAGGAAAGATAGGCACTTGCCCCTTTCTATCCATAAGTTTTAAATTTAAAAAGAGGTGTGATTTATTTTATAAATTTTAATTTGAGTTTGTCTTTAATATATAGTTCTTTTTCTAATTTTGCTCCAGGGGTGTTCAAGGCCGGCCCGTCCCGGTCGGCCCGTTTCGGTCCTGGTCTTATTGGGATGGGACGGATCCGTCCTGAAATTTTTGGGAACGGGACAAACCGGGATGAGGTCATCCCGTCCTGGTTCCTTTTTTTTTAATTTTTTAATTTTTTATCCTATTTATATAATATCATTTTTTTCATATTTTTTTTAAGATTTGAGACTATTGTATGGAACTATAAATATATTTATTTAGAGTTTTTATATTTGTTAATGATTTGAGATTATTGATTATTAGAATTTTTGGCAAGTTTTTATTGTGTTAAAAGCTTTTGTTTAGAGTTTTTAATGACTATTATATGTAATATTTTGAGCTTTTGTTTAAGAGTGCCCAAACAAATAAAAAAGAAAATAAAAAGATGTTTTTATAAGATTTAAGCTTAAAAAAATATAATTAAAAAATCAGATTTTTTAAAAAAAATTTTAAAAAATTAAAAAATCAAAAAAAATATTTTCAGGACGTCCCAGTCCCGTCCCGTCCCGATCGGGATCAGGACCGGGACGGGCCGGGACACGGGACAGAAAATCTGTCTCGTTACTGTTCATCGGGATGGAACCGAGACGGGCCTGTCCTGGTTCCGATCCATCCCGTGAACAGCCCTATTTTGTTCTTAGTTATTTATTCTATCTTTTTTGTCATGCTCTCTTTTAGCATATTTCTTCACACCTTCTATTTCATCTCTTTTCTTATTTATTGTAAGAACATAGTTAAAAAATTTATATTTTTAATCTACATATTGTTTTAACTAAACTTAACTAATCATTTATTATTCATGAATTAATCATTTGAAATTTATAATAAAAATGAGAAGAAATAGTATAGTAACAGTAGTTAACATGTAATCTATGAGAGTGTTTGGCAAGCTGGTCAACTATTTTGTTAGGGAAAATTTCATTTAATGACCGTAGGTGAGAATTTATATTAGTCAACCTCCAAAACATTTTGAAATATCACTGTAGGACTAAGAGACCAAATTAAAATTAAAATTAAGAGTAAGATTACAATAATATCCCTCACTTTTATTTTTAAAAAAATAAATATTAATAGTCGTCGGAGTTCGACCACCAGAGATCGGAGGTCCAACCACCAGCGCTCAGGTGGCTACCTCCTAAGGTTGGACCTTTGGTGGCCGCTAATGTAGCTCTGGTGGTCAGAATTTTTTTTTTAAAACAAAGTAGTCAGGAGAAGATTTGAACCCATGACTCCTTGCACACTAAAAGTAATGTAACTACCAAGCCAAACAAATCATTCAATCATATGATGCAAATAAATATATATATAACAAAACAAATACAAGTATCCAAGTATAAGTGAACAAGTGAAATTCAACAATTTACAAGTGAAATTCAGCAATTTATAACAAAAATTTAACAATTTACAAATAACATAATGGAATTCACAACTTCAAATGTAAGTATTTAAGTGCAAATGAGCAAGTGAAATTTGAAGATTTACAACAAAAGTTCATAAATTTACCGCCCAAATTTGGTTATTCACAAGAAATATAAAGGAATTCACAACCCAAAATGTGAGTGTTTGATTGTAAGTGAACAAGTGAAATTCAATAATTTACAACTGAAATTCAGTAATTCACAACAAAAATTTGGTAATTTACAAATAACATAATGAAATTCACAACCTCAAATACAAGTGTTTAAGTGTAAATGAGCAAATGAAATTTTCATTGTAAATACTAAATTTCACTTGTAAATTGTCAAATTTCACTTATAAATCCATAAACTTTTGTTGTAAATCTTCAAATTTTAGTTACTCATTTATACTTAAACACTTACATTTGGGATTGTGAATTTCATTATGTTATTTGTAAATTGCTAAATTTTTGTTATAAATTGCTGAATTTTACTTGTAAATTGTCGAATTTCACTTGTTTACTTACTATTAAACACTTACATTTTGAGTTATGAATTTTCTTGTATTTCTTGTGAATAGCCAAATTTGGGTTATAAATCCATAAATTTTTATTGTAAATCTTTAAATTTCACTTTCTCATTTGTATTTAAACACTTGCATTTATGGTTGTGAATTCTATTATATTATTTGTAAATTATCAAATTTTTGTTGTAAATTGTTGAATTTCACTTGTAAACTATCGAATTTCACTTATTTACTTATACTTGGACACTTGTATTTGTTTTGTTATATATATTTTTATTTGTATCATATGATTAAATGGCTTGCTTGGCTTGGTAGTTATATCACTTTTGGTATGCCAAGGAGTCATAGGTTCAAACTTTCTTTTGTCCACCTTGTTTTTTTAAAAAAATTTTGGCCACCGGAGTTATAGTAGCGGCCACCAGAGGTCCAACCTCCAGCGGCAGCTGCCTGAACACTGGTGATCTAACTCTAGTAACCATTAATATTCATTTTTTAAAAAAATAAAAATTAAGGGTATTATTGTAATCTTACTCTTAATTTTAATTTTACTTTAGTCTTTTAGTCCTGCACTGATATTTCAGAATATTTTGGGAGTTGACTAATATAAATTCTCACCTGTGGTCCTTAAATGAAATTTTCCCATTTTGTTATCATCTCATAGCTAATGACAACCCGCCATGGTGCCAATCGCTGCAGAAAAGAGATATAGCTTCCTTCCTATATAACATCCGCGTGTAGAGTCACAACCCCGATACAGAAGATTTTTTTTTTTTTGACCGGACCGATACAGAAGATTAAAAGTATCAAGTTTTTACATTTTAACGAGTTAATATAACATTAATCCTTTAAATTTATTCTCATTTTGATTTTGGTTTTTTAAGTTATAAATCATAGGTTTTGATTCTTCAAATTTTCTTTCATTTAAAATATTAGTAATCATAATTCAATAAAAATTTAAGTCATTTTGCTCCCTGAAAGTTCAAAACTTACAGTTTAAAATTTGAAAAACTAAAACTAAAATGAAGACAAATTTAAAAGATCAAAGATTATATTAACCTTTTTAATATTTGTGATAGGGTTCAGGTAAAAATTCTTTAAAAGATCATAAAAAGTTGAAAACTGTTCTAGTTTCTAATAAGATATCAAAATACCGTAGAATCTATGCCGAAATTCACTTAGGGGTGTTTTCCCGCTGTGTCAAACACTGTTTTCTAAAAATATTTTTTTATAAACGGAGATAGACTCCTTTGTGTATATATATTTATTTTGTATAGTGTAGAATTACTTATAGAATTAAAAATCATGGTTTGGTCACCTTTTAGAAGACGAAAACGCAAGATCATGTTTGTTCACTCTGATTTGTGTGACTAATTTTTGGTATGAATTCAATTTCTTGGGATAGGCATTGAAGGGAGGTACAAGAGAGAAGTTTGAATTGGCAACCAAATTCGGAATCAGTTATGTGGATGGGAAGGGAGAGATTCGAGGCGATCCTGCGTATGTGAGAGCGGCTTGTGAGGCGAGCTTGAAGAGACTGGACACCGATTGCATTGATCTCTACTACCAGCATCGTATTGATACTCGTGTGCCTATTGAAGTCACGGTTTGTTTGCCTTCTCTTCCTATCTATCATATGATGATTTAGTTCAATGAATGCTGTGAAAGGATTTTAACGGATGGGAGGGAGGGAAGGGAATTAACGGAGAGGTACCCTAATATTATTATTTCGTTGAGCCTGTTTCAATGTCGCCGGAGCTTTACGTCAAATCGTTGTGCCTATCGGTGTTCTGTGCGCTTTTTCTCTCTGGTTTTCTGATTCTGCCCATATTTGCGATTCTACTTTCCATTTTGACTTCGTCTCCCGATCTCGCCGTTTTGATTGAGAAAAGAACAAGGAAAAAAAACGCACCATCACTGTCTTTGACCCGCCCCCTAATTTTAAAAAGGGAAAAAAAAAACTATCACGGTTAGTGAGGGCAATCGCGAACCGGAGGTCGCCGTCGCCGTTGTGGAAGGGAGGAGGAGGTCGTCGTCCAAGGAGATCAATTTGGGGGAATGTTTGGATAGAGACTAACCATAATTTCAGAAGTGCTTTTACAGTTTACGAAATAAATATATTGAGAAATTTGTCTTGTTTTACGAAAAAATGCTTTTAAAACTATGGTTTGAAAGTTATCAAACACCCCTTATCGACACTGCTAAACTCACTCCTTCAGGTGTTTAGTAATTAGTAAGGGTAAAATAGAAATATTGAAAATATTTATGGGTAAAATTGTCGGGTACGAAAATATTACTCAGATGGTCTCCTTTCCTTCCCTTCCCACTTATCAAACAGACAAAATCATGATGTTCCATGCGGTTTAAGTAGACTTTGAAAGCCATCTAGCCTGCTGGTCCAAAAAAAAGAAAAAAAAAAAAAAAAAAAGGAAAGCCATCTAGTCTTACTAAACATCATTGGAAGCCAAACCCTTTTTTATTTTTTGGTGAAGGGAATTCAAACCCTTTTAATATACACAAATATACTTTTAACGGTAAATTACTTCACTATTTTAATCTTCATATGTTTATTTTGGTCACGTGGTGACTAAATATTGGAAGAGTATTGAATTAATAACCTTGGAGAGTCAAACTGATGAGGATGAGACCGGAAGGGCGAAACAAAAGTGATACAAAGTGTATTTTATTATAGGGAGAATGACAAACAAAGGCAGTGGAAATTGCAAAATTCTAAATCAGAATTTGTTACAAAATTAATTTGCAAATAATAATACATTTTTATGAAAATACCTAATTAGAGATTTTGCAATTTTCACCGTCTTTTTTTAACATTTTTCCTTTATTATATCAAATGTTATGCAATGTAATATAATTTAAATTTAATATTGACAAGTGGCTTCTCAACCATCCTTCTTGGTTCTGCTTTTTCAATAATTCATTATTAATGTTAATTAATAGTATGTGACTCTGCCTTGTTGAATTGGAAAAGCATAGAGCATTATTTTAATCCAACAGGACAATTTTCCCAAAAAAGGGGAAATTCTTCACTTACACATAGGTCCATAAGCTAGGGAGTGAAGAGTGGGTAACAGGATATTGGAAGGGAGTGATTAAATCCAACTGAAAAGGTTGGATTTAAAACAGATGCAACTATGATACATGGAATAGACAAATTGGCGAGGCATTGACATGCATCCATCTCAACTTGTACATGATACCTCTGCTAGAGAAAGGAATTCATGTCCTTGAATTTTTTGATTTGCTGACTTGTTTGAACACTTGTTTATGACTGATAAATGCAAAATTATTCCCATATGATAAGGTTGGGGAACTTAAAGAACTTGTTGAGGAAGGAAAAATAAAATACATTGGATTGTCTGAGGCCTCAGCTTCAACAATTAGAAGAGCACATGCTGTTCATCCTATAACAGCTGTGCAATTGGAGTGGTCCTTGTGGTCAAGAGATGTGGAGGAAGAAATCGTTCCAACCTGCAGGTGAGATTTAAGCTAAAGACAAATATTTATTCATAATATCTATTATTTCTCCATGTTGGAGCCCTTGATTAAACTGCAACAAGTGTTTATGTTTATGACTTCTGAATTGGTTTGCCACATTCTCAGGGAACTTGGCATTGGAATTGTTGCCTATAGTCCTCTTGGACGAGGATTCTTGTCATCAGGACCAAAGTTACTTGAAAATCTGACACAGGATGACTTCCGGAAGGTTTGTGTTAATTCATGTTGTTCTAAATACAGATGATGAACTATAGTTGCTTCTGTCATGCTAGTGGTAAATTATTTCAAGGCCTTAGAATATGATAGTAAACCATTGACTGCTGATTCTGACCTTATTCTGTCCTCTGATATTTTAGTTCTAGTTTTAAAAGAATGAACTGTTAGTTAAAGAAGTAGTTTTTTATTTTTTAAACAGAGTGAAAAGAAATTGTTGATTAATACTTTTTACAACTAATTTCTGAAGGCAAAATCAATAGAGCCAGGGATTCAGTCTGGTAATGGCCTGTTCACTTCAGAGTATGATGGATTAGGTTTTAGTGCTTAACTACTGAAAATACTTACAAACAGAGATTCAGTCTGAAATTATTGAGAATTCTTTCCTCTTCTGATCTCTTAGTTATCTGTTTCAAAATGTATGATGGATTAGGTACAGAAAGAATATATTATGTATCTCTCTGGCGTCTGTTTGTTTGTAAACGAACATACCCACTCAGGACACTTTGGTATTTCTGAAAATAGTAACGAATTATTTTTAGCAATAAAAGTACTTAATATATCTACAATAAGATACATGCACTATTATGATATGATAAGATTGAATATAAATATTATGATATTTAATATCACTTTTAATCCTTATTATAAGAGCTAGTTTGACATATAATTTGGTTCTAAATATAAAATCCTAATTCACTCGGTCTCTTATATTTATCTTTTTTTTTAAAGTAGTTTTTATAGTAGTTGCACATGTTAAAAGTTCCATCAAATAGTAGCTCAGCTAATACACATGATTAGTAAGGTTATTCTAAAAAAGGTAATACTTATTTATTACAAATAACTAACTTAACAAACATCCTTAATCTAGTCAAATTACTCAACTACCTCTAGTTCTTAACCTGCTATGAGTCCATGAGTTTCTTAGCTTTGCTTGGTGATGTATCAAGATTTTATAATCTGACCTACCTGACACTTTCTTTCGATTTAAACAAAGAGCAAAAATTATTCACAATTGTAATGTTCATTATTGATCGTTTGATATCTACATATAATCTCACTGGTATATGTCTTTTACCCAGTCGCAGTATCTGCCTAGATTCCAGCCTGAAAACCTGGAGCACAATAAAACTATATTCGAGAAGGTTAATGAAATGGCTACAAAAAAGGGATGCACTCCATCCCAGCTAGCCTTGGCCTGGGTTCACCGCCGGGGAAATGATGTGTGCCCCATACCCGGAACCACGAAAATCGAGAACTTTGATCAAAATATCGGGGCTTTGTTGGTTAAGCTAACACCGGAAGAAATGGCACAGCTGGAATCTTTTGCTGCTACTGATGCTGTCAAGGGTGATAGATATGGGTCCGGAATGGCTACATGGAAGGACTCTGACACTCCCCCGCTTTCTTCCTGGAAAGCTGCATAAATAAGTACATACTCTGTACATCATCAATTACTTGATGCTGCAACCTTGTGCAAACTGTTCTTTATCTTGTTGTATCAATCCTTTTAGGCTGCATGGTTATGTGTGTCTTTTAAAGTTGTTTGAATTTTATGGTCGGTTGTTGTTGTTGTGTAGTTCTAAGTAAACGGAGACACCAGACATTACTTTGCCTTAGATCTGTTTCTTCTTCGATGTTTTTGTTTCTAACACCATGTGTATGTAGGTCTAAATAAGCCAAGACACCAGAGATTGCTTTGCCTTAAATCTGTTTCTTCTTCTATATTATCAAATTCTAGTTATTACCATTTACGCATTTCAGTTATAGTTTCAAAAGAATCAACTATTATTAGATAAAAGAAATTGTTTTTTTAAACAGAGAGAAAAGAAATTGTTGGTTAATAGTTTTTACAATTAATTTCTAAAGGCAAAGTCAATAGAACCAGGGACTCAGTCTGGTAATGGCTTGTTCACTTCAGAGTATAGTTTAGTATGTTGTTAGGCTTTTGTGCTAGACTACTGAAAATACGTACAGAGATTCACTCTGGAATTATTGAGAATTCTTTCCTCTTCTGATCTCTTAGCTCTCTGTCTCAATATGTAGCATGAATTGGGTACAGAAAGAATATACTCTTCCGGTCCTTAATATAAGACCTATTTAATTAATTTGATTACATTAAAGAAGTTAGGTAAATTAGTTAATTATAAGAAAAGTAACACATTTTTCCTAAAACACCATAATCATCTTTATTAATACCCCATCTCCTTTTTCTACTTAATTATGGTTGAGGGAATATCTATAGAGGTAATTTAGAGAAAATTGATAAATATGAGAAATGAGTCTTATATTTAGGACCAAAACCAACTCAAGAATTGGGTCCTATATTAAGGACCGGAGGAGTATCATATATCTCTGGCATCTGTCTGTTTGTAAACTAACATACCCGCTCGGGGAACTTGATATTTGTGAAAAGGTAATGAACTGTTTGAGGGCACCGCTCCCTTAACGCTTAGTAAGTATTGTGATAGTATAAACGTGTGTGTGTGTATTTAGAGAGAGAGAGAGAGAGAGAGTAGCAAGTCACAGTTAAATAGCTGCAAGTTATCTGTTGCAGTAATGCAAAACAAATGGTCGTTAACATCTGTTTTTTCGTCGGTGTCTTTTCGTCGTGGGGAAATGGGTTTTGGCTTCACTGCAATCTTATGGGAGAAAAAGATACAGCCAGGGGCCTAGAGGCATTGCTCTGTACCATAAAAAGTGATTCTTGATATACCTACTTCATGCTTTAGAGTAGAACTCCAGTTTATGAATAAAGATACTCTGATATTTAATTAACACCTGGTGACAAATTCTTGGATTCATTCTCTTCATTCGTGCCATTATTGGGGCTAGATTATTTGAAGGGGGATGGGTTATGGGTTTGAAAAACATGAATATTACGTTTAGTCCATGCAAGTATTTATATATCTACAATAAGATACATTGCGAGTCTGTTTGGTTGACCGATTGAAGATGGTAGAAGTAGCTTTTAGGGAGCAAAAGACAGATGAAGTTATTTTATTACCTTTGGCATCACATTTGGGTGTAAGTAATTGGGAAAATGACCAAAAAAAAAGCCTGAAATTATCAAATCCTATTAGGAAGTTGAGGATTGAAAATAACAGGAAATGAAGTAAACTCAAATTAGAATTTTAAAATTCAAATGAAATAACAAAAATATCCATTGTTTTTTTTATTTTAAAAACTTTAATCCCTTGCTGGAGGCCACCACCAGCGAACCCTATGGGCAGCTGGCAGCTGGCTGCTGACACCACACTGGCCAACAACAGAGTTTTTATTTTTTCTGGCAACAACTTTTTTTTTTTTGGTCATGGGAAATTATTTAAGAAAAGTGGTGAGGGTGGAATTTGATCCCATCACCCATGATCATTTGGGCCAACCAAAAAGATAGTTGACCCTTGGATCACCAATAATTACTATCCTTTTGGTTTGTTCAAATGACTATGGAGCGGTAGGATCAAATCCCACCTATTGGTGGCTTGTGGCGACGGCAGTGGCCTGCCACGATGGGGGTGGTGGCCTCTAGTGAGAGGTTGAAGTTTTTAAAATACTCTTCCGGTCCTAGATATAAAACCCATTTAATGGGTTTTATATTTAGAATTAAAAGAGTAAAAAAAAAAAACAAAAGGGCATTTATGTTATTTCATTTGAATTTCAAATTTTCAAATTGGGCTTACTTCTCTCCCCGTCATTTTCAACTCTTAGCTTCTTAATTTGGGATTTCATAATTTCAAGCTCTTTTTTTTTTTTATTTGTCATTTTGCCTAACAAAGTCACTTTAAGTCAAAAGTTAATTTTTATGGCTCATGCTCTATCTTGCTCATGCAAAAGCTACTTTTCAAAATCCAAAGATATTTTTACCCCTAGGTTTATGCTCTCCTTATACTTTTCTCTACATATTCAATGTGCTTCCCAACCAATTTTTAATGCTCTTTTAAATAAAAATAATTTTTAACAAAGTTTTTATAATATTTTTAATGTTATTTTTCATTTTATATTTACATAAATTGTGTAGTCCAATTAATTATGTAATATTATTTGGTTAAAAAATTTTCATATTACTATGATTTCTAATTTAAATATATTTTATTCATTAAACACAACTCATTCCTATTATAATAATTTAAAATTATTATATTTTGTAAATTTATTTTTTAATCATTAAAATTCATATCCATTTTAGTCATTCTACAAACCAAAATTTACTTATGTAATTATAATCCAAACAAATTTTTATTTTATAAACTAACTTTTATAAAAACTAATCTAAACATTAATCATATTACTCAATCAAACTTTTCTAAAAGGTAAATTGAGAATAAATCACTTTTTCTTAAGGCTGTTCACGAAACGAATCGGGACCAGGACATGCCCATCCCGGTTCCATCCTGATGAACAGTAATGGGACAGATTTTCTGTCTCCCGTCCTGTCCCGTCCCCGTCCCGGTCGAGACGGGACAGAACCAGAACGGGACGGGGACGTCCTGATATTTTTTTTAATTTTTTTAATTTTTTAATAAAATCTGATTTTTTCCCAATTGTAGTTTTCTGGGCTTAGGCCTTGTAAAAATATCTTTTTGTTTTCTTTTTTTATTTCTTTGGGCACCTTTAAACAAAAGCCCAAAATATTACATATAATAGTCATTAAAAACTCTTAACAAAAGCTTTTAATACAATAAAAACTTGCCAGAAATTCTAATGATTAATAGTCTCAAATCATTAACAAATATAAAAGCTCTAAATAAATATATCTATAATTCCATACAATAGTATCAAATCTTTAAAAAAATATTAAAAAATGATAGTATATAAATAGAATAAAAAATAAAAAAATAAAAGGGTCTGGGACGGGGATGGAACTGGGAGGAGACAACCCTATCCTGTGTCTAAGCCCATCCTGGTCCTTTTTTTTGTCTCGTTCTGAAAAATTTCAGGAGTGGCCTGTCCCGTCCTAATAAAGTCGGGACCAGAACTAGTTGGCTTGGCCTTGAATACCCCTACTTTTTCTATGTACCAATATGCGATCATTATATGTATTAATGTATTATGATGTGATATGGAGTTGTGGGTGCAAAAGAAAAGGTGGAAAATAAGAGTGAATATAAAATGTTATGATGTTGAATATTGGTAATCTCATAACCTGCAGTGAGTCCATGAGCGTCTAGCCTTGCTTGGTGATGTATCAAGTACTGACCCTTTTTTTCAATTTAAACGAGAGCAAAAATTATTCACAATTGTAATGTTCATTATTGGCCATTTGACATCTAGATATAATCTCACTGGTATGTTGTACCTAGTTGCGCTATCTGCCTAGACTCCAGCCTGAAAACCGGGAGCACAACACAAAAGAACCATATTTTAGAAGATTAATGAAATGGCTACAAAAACGGGATGCACTCCATCCCAACTAGCATTGGCATGGCTTTACCACCAGGGAAAGGATGGCTGCACTATACTTGGAACCACGAAAATCAACAACTTCAGTCAAAATATCGGTGCCTTGTCGGTTAAGCTAACGCCGGACGAAATGGCACAGCTGGAGTCTTTTGCCGCTGCTGTCAAGGGTGAAAGATATGGTAGTGGAATGGCCACATGGAAGGACTCTGCCACTCCCCTACTTTGTTCTTGGAAAGCTGCATAATTAAGTACTTTCTATGCACGTCATCAATACTTGATGGTGCAACCTTGTGGAAACTGTTCTGTACGTTGTATCAATTCTTTTAGGTTGTATGGTTATGTTTTGAAAGTTGCCTGAGTTTTATGGCCGGTTGTTGTTGTGTAGTTCTATGCAAGCTGAGCCACCAGACGGTAATTTGCCTTAAATGTTTCCTCTTCGATGTTTTTTTTTTTTTTTTTGGGTAAGACCATATGTGTATGTAGGTCTGAATAAGCGAAGCCACCAGAGATTGCTTTGCCTTAAATCTATTTCTTCTTCCATAATTTACACATTTCACAGCTCATCATATATCATTCATTTTTCTTACAAGCCTTCTTTGGGGTGCCTTTAGAAGGCCAATGCCTCATCCTGAGTTTCTCAGCTTGTTCCGAAGAAGAAACTCAACCAGAACTCATGTCATCATTTGAAACCGAATTTGAATCCTCAAGTGAAGGAATGGTGCACATGGCAAATAAGTTGACTATATATATGTAACTGATAAACCTCAATTCATAGTGCAACACAAATATGTTGTTGGCTTGAGAATGGGTGTATTAGAAATTTTGTCATGGAGGCCTCAATCAACATATCTAGTGGGAGTATCAGATACTTACAGGAGGGAAAGAGAAAAAAGGGATGCAATGAAGTTAATGACTAATAAGGAGTGACTTTAGGCGAAATTGGTTATGACACTAAACTCTCCTGTAAGTAAGAGATTGCATGTTTGATGATAGGAGACGAAATGGAAGTTGTATGGATGCCATTCTCCTGGGAACCAGTTTGGATGCTCAATGCTCATCCCATTTAGATCGTCTAGATCTAATTTGGTCGGTCTAGATTTAATTTCTTTTTTAGGATGGCACATCATTGAAACACAAGTTTATCCTTAAGATTAATTCTAAATAACATAAAAACAAACAATTAGCTAGAAAATAGATGTGATTTCCCCGGAATTATCTGGAATGAAGCATGATAATATATAACTTTGGATGAAAGAGAAATATGCTTCACCTATAAAAAAAAAAAAAAAAAAAAAAAAGAAATATGCTTCATGCAAAAAGGATAAAAAAGATCGCAAATGAAATGACGTACATAAAATTTCAACGGCGAACCATTTGCTTATACTTCCTTCGGAGCACAGACAGCCTTCTCTGAATGGGAAACTTTTCATGTCTTCTCCCTAGTCTATCCAAGTAATACACAATTTTTTTCAGGGTAACCATAACCCCCTCACTGTCATGCCCAAATTCTTTCTCTTGGATCTTCAGGATCCTTTTAAGCAGCTTGAGCAATTCACTATCATCCTTACCTAGCCTCGTTTGAATGGACACCAAACAATCCAAGGCCTCCCCTGCCATCCATCAAGCAGAGTAGAGTTAGCTTGTCACAATGTTCAGTATTCCCTCAAGTTCCTACTATATGGCACTTCTAACCACCTCACTAGAACCAAGAAGAGATGATTAAGTCATAACCTTTGTCTTGAAATAAATTTTTTGACTTCACCCATATTCAAATGAAAAATTTTCATATTTGTATTACATTTCATATCATAATTAATGACTTTAAAGAAGGGTGGTACTAAATAACGTAATTAATACCCAATCAAGTGACTTATAATAAGAAGCATCCACCAGAAATAGTACACTGAAACTAGTGAAACTCAGTCAAGTTATATGAAGAATGAATATGTTCGTCATATGAAATAAAAGTCGATGGATGGTATTGTACCAACAGGAAGAGAATCTTCTCCAAATGCTTTCTCACGTATGCGCAAAACCTCAAGGGCAAATTGCTCTGCCTCTTCATCTTGTTTGAGATGGTAGAGGGTAACTGCAAGGTGCAACATTGGGAAAGTGATGGACTGGTCATCAGTCCCCATCTGCCTTGTCATGATTTTTAAACTTCTTCGGAGCAAGCGCTCAGCCTCTACATAATTTTTTGATTGCGAATATGAAGTTGCAAGGTTCATCATGTGTGTCACCAAGTCGGGATGCTCATTTCCCTTATACCTTTCTGTGATTAATAAACATTCCTCTAATAATGCTCTTCCTTCTTGTCCTCTATAAGAATTACATTAGAAATCAGCATATGCCAATCCGGGCGTCACAAGTATAGAGCTTCAACACAGTAACCAGCTAACATGAGATAACCAAGAAAAGGTAGACCAAATCTTGCCTAAAGATACTTATTAACCGAGAAAGAAAAATATTTATAGACAAGCAATTGTAAAATTCAAAATTTATGTCCAAAAGCATAATAAAACACTCCACTCCCAACATCACCGTTATGTAGAAGACAGGTATACCTGCCAACGGCATGCAGTAATTCAGCCAGATCTACCCTCATCTTCTCCACAATGTTGTCATCCACTGGCATGTAATTTGATTCCTTTAAGATTTGAAGAGCGCTCTTATACAAATGGATTGCTTCATCCACCTCCCCTGCATAAAGTTTTCCACATGAATCAATGCCACTACTCCTTTTTTTTTTTTTTTTTTTAAAGAATAATTAGTGTAGAGAAGAGACAAGAAGAAACGGTTCCTAAAGTAGGATGCCATTTTGCATATTGACGATCAGGGAACTGCAAAAAGCTTTGAATTTCTATCCATTACTTAAAGCCAATTAAAATGTTTATGTAAACGTAGCGTCTTTTCCACCACCCTTATGCATGTTATAAACGTAGCGTCTTTTCCACCACCCTTATGCATGTTAGGTTACAAGATCCATTATGCAACAAAGAACCTCTAAACTATGTTCATCCTTCAAATATCTATTTAGCAACAAAGTCCCTTTATTAAGCGCGCAGCCATCAAATAAACATGAGAAATAACAGAAACAGGGATTAAATAAAAGGAAAAGGGGGGGGGGGAGGATGTCATGAGCAAGATCACAAGGTTACCTTGAGCACATTTCACCTGGGCCAGGGAACCCATAGCCATTCCACTTCTACCATCTATTTGTCCATATAATGATGTATATATGTTCAGAACTCTTCAAAAAAAACAAAACAAAAAACAAAAACAAAGGGTAAAAAAAGTGAATATGCAAGAAGGCAAAGCCACTGGCGCCAAGACAAAAGGGATGGAGAAATCAACAATGGGAAGTTTAACCTTACAAAATGAGCTTCTGCATCTTTTGCTCTTCCTTCCTCAAGTAAAAGGTTACCGAGACCAAGTAAAGGGACAACCAAATCCTTGCTTTCAGTGCCTCTACTCGATTCCAGGAGAGTAATAGCATGCTGGTACATTTCCATTGCCTTTGCTGCTTTTCTATCAGAACCATAAACTTTGGCCACGCCCAAATAGGGGGTGACAAGAAAAGTACTATCCTTACCTAGAAGAAAATGGTCCTTTAAACCCATGTCATCACCAGAAAATTTGATCATATGCTACTAATGTCAGCATTCAAAATCTGATAATAAAACCAGTTAATCAAATTAACTGACTGTGACTTTATTGGTGACATAGTGGCAGCATTCTACTCTCCAATAACTTTGCAAGAAAAATACACTCACCATAGGTCCTTTCCATGATGTAAATAGCCCTTTGATATGCGTCGAGTGATTTTTCAAAGTTCCCCAAAGTTGAATACATACTTCCCATATGCATGAGAATGGAATCTAGACGTGGGGCATCATCCTTCAAAGTGTCAACAACTTCCTTCATCTGACCATACATGAACAAGTTAGGTGAAATGGAGGCAGAATGGTAATTAAGATTAGAGGGGAGAACCAACAAAAGCAGAGGAAAATGTTTGCAGAAGATATTTGATGTAGAAAGAAATAAAAAATGCATAATCTCCTTTCATTATCTGACAGGTACACACAAATTAAAATAATCGTTCAAAGAAATTACAAATTACTGCAAGGGAATCAAATATGTCATACTGGAAAAGAACACACAAGACACCGGTTTTCATGTGCCAGAAATCACATACATCAGAATCATGCAGATGGCTTATACATGTTTGTGCATAATTTATTCAAATCTCACAAATCTCATCAAAGTAGATAAAGGTAAACCCATAACACAAAACAGAAGAAAGCCAAGGGACTTCTCGAAGTATTCTGATTACTGTACAAATTGGTGCTACCTCCTAAATCTCCTATGTATTAAACATGATATGGACTCTAATTAATAATAATGCCCTGAAAAATTATTGCTGTAACAAATATTATGTTATTCAGAATTCTGAACCCAAGGAATCTCCAACATAAGATGCCAAAATGACAGTATAATGCATAAGTGTAAAAGACATACCTCATTCAGTAGAGAACCAACAAAATTGAAGTCGCCAACAGCCATGAAACCTAGGGCTATGATGTCAAGAACAGCAGCTTCTTCTACACCTTTAGCGCCTCCGCTTAGCCTCTCATTCACCATTTCATAATTTGCCTTAAGCAAATCTGTAGCGTCATTTTTGTTTCCCATCCTAATCATTTGTTTGATATCATCAAATAATTCTTGTAACTGTCTCTCAAAATCATTCATGCTGCAGAAGTGATCAATTGGCAGAATAAGCAATGGGGCAGGCATTGGCAGTACCAAACAAAGAAGTTACAATAACTTTACTGATTATCACCTCTGATAGTTATCTGGATACGAAGAAGTGGCACCAACACCATTTTGAGGGCCTTTTTCACCAGGTCTCAATGACCCAACTGAAGATCTTGCAACAAAACACTGAGCAGCAATCTTAATGGGCACAATGTAAAGCTTCAGATTGAATTTCTGATTTTGCTTGCAAACTGGGAAACATGTCATGAATTTCTGATCACAGACTGAAAGCGTACGCAGAGCCACTTTGTTTGTCCTTCATGATAACGGGAGATAGCCCAAATCATTGCAATTACAAATTATTGTAATAAGTAACGCACAGTCCGTTGGAAAAAAAAAAAAAATAATACTACCTCTAGTCCTTAATATATAACCTCATTTGGCTTTTATTTTAGTCCTAAATATAAAAACCCAATCCACTTCGTCTTTAATATTTATGCATTTTTTCCCAAGCTAGTCTTTCCAATAATGGTAGTTCTAACCAACACCCTTGATTAGTAAGGATATTTTAGGAAAAACAACACATATTTATTATAAATAACTAACTTAACTTATTTTATTAATCTCCTCAAATTAGTTAACTAACTCTTATAACTAGGACCAAAGGTAGTAATAAGTAACGTACAGGCCGATCAAGCTTTGACGTTTAAAATGCTCCCCCCCCCCCAGGGGGGGTGTTTGATTGCTTTTAATTTGTATAAAGCTCTAAGAAAAAAATTGCATTCAGATTACTCAGATCTTCAAAATTTTTTACCTTTGGAAATATACTCGATGGATCAATCCATGAACAAGAGACAAATAACGTTTCACATTTGCTTAAACATCATATAACCAACGTAAATCCAAATCATTAGAGTTTAGAACATAATTCAGCCAGAAACAGTCTCCCCTTTAACCTTGAGTAACGTACTGGAGCCAGGCATAATATACTACGCCACTTAATCTCACAGAAATGACAACTAACCTTCTCATAATCAACAGGTCGTGTTGAAAAACTTAATACACGAAACAGCGATACGAAATGAAAATAAATAAATACCAACAACATTTTTGGGACTCGTGTAAATTTCATCCACAATTTTACTGTGGTTTTCAATGCACTCATCTTGAGATGTCTAAAACTTTAAGCCAAACCTCAAAATATCTAAAAGTTTGGAACAAAAATATTGGAAAAAGATAAGCATTTAATATTCTTTATTACCATATTTTTCATAAGATTTTTTTATAAACTTATTTTTTAATAGTTTTTTATTTAAAATCATTATCTTTTTTTTTAAATATAAATATGTAGTCTTTAGGGCTTTTTATTACATGATTTGACATGTTAAAAAAATTTTATGCATATTATAATTTACAAAAATATGCAACAGCCAATAGATAAGATGTTATATTTATGTCAAGTCATTCATATAATATTAAACTCTATACAACTATACATTGAATATTTATTTATAAAAATTACATAATTATTTTTAAATGTCATATTATAAAAAAGTAATTATAAAAATCTGATAACAAAAAATACATACAATATTTTTTTCCAACTTTTTTGGGCCAGTTTTTTTGCAAGTAATATTTTATAAGGACCGCTGTGGAGGCAACTGAAAATATGGGCCTAAAAGGCCTACTAGGCCCCACTGTTAGTCCCGACAATGGCCAATTCTCAACCCGCCCACAAAATTTTGTTTCAGCGTTTCTACTGCGAGCTTTCCCTACAAGTGGGAGCTTCCTTTCCTCTTCCCCTCTTCTTCGTTTGTCGGAAGAGTTTCTCTCTTTCTCTCTCTTTGCTTTCTGTGATTCCAATGCTTATAATTGCTGAATTAAATTTAGTCTAGTATTCATTGTTGAAGTTCAATCTTCTATTCCGTAAGATGTAGCATATCGATTTCGCAATTACCGGATTTTCTTGTAACACTCCCATCCAACACACAGAGCGAGAAAGCAGAAGAAGAAATGGATCAAACGAAGAAACAAACAGATCATACCTGTGCACAGCAAGCTCAAAATGCCGCAAATAGTGTAGCTCAGCCATCAAACGCTCATCAAGGAATCACGCGCTTAAGAATCGATAATCGTTCAACACCACGTGAGAATTCGAAAGCCTCCTTTGCCGGAGGAACAGTTCAGTGACTGGATGACCCTCCTTTATGCAATTGCCAACCTCAATCACAAACCTAACCAAGTCGCAAGTGAAAGGAGCTCAATCACGGATTAGGTGTATTACACAACGCCGTCGGAAGGAGATAAGAACCCCTGCAACCAAGAAGAAATCGGACTGCGGAAGCGGAAATTTCAGAAGACTTTGGACGAGTCCAGGGCTGAGGGCTGCCAAACGGGAGGCCCGCGTTTCTGGACACGGAGAACTGATTTGGGCTTCAATTGGGACGGCCCAAAAAGATCAAGCGATTGATTAAATGAATCACAGGCCCAATAGCGGAAAGACTGACACAAATGGGAGAATGTACAAAGTTATAAGGCTGTTTGGGTAACTCAAAAATACTTTTTAAAATCACTTTTTACAAATTAAAATAAACTCCTGCACATATTTACTTCGTATACTGTAAAAGTACTTTTAAAGCTATAGTTTTATTTCTACCCAAACACTACTAACAGGGTTGCCAACAAGGTTGAGTATAATAGAATGGCTAGCCCTTCATAATGTGATGAATCAATATTTAAATTTTCAGTGAAAGACGTGCCCATATTTGATGCACAATAATATCTTGAATAGAATTTTCTCTAATAGAAAAATACCTGTGCCTACAAAAAAAAATTTTTAATAGAAGTTGAGTTTAATAATAAGGACTAGTGTCTCACAATATAGTAAACCAAAGTTGGAATCTCTATTGTGAGAAGTACTTATATGTAGTACTTGATAATGCTTTCAACAAGATTTTTTTTTTTGGTAAGAAACAATATTGCTTTAAATAAGAGAATGCATGGCCTTAGTTGAAAAAGTAAAACATAAGGAAATTGGGTTCCAAAAGCCCATTCAACCACAATAACAAGGAGAATCGGCATCATGTTGGCCGTTAAATACAATAATCATTATGAGCTTGTTTGGAATGACTAATAAGTGACTTTTCAAACATAATATATGAAATACGAGGTAAATATGTGAAATAAATTTTATCTCGACTCACATAAAAGTGCTTATAAGTACTTTTGCATTGTTGATTCAAACAAGCCCTATATCAATAATAAACCATTATCATTATATCTTTAAAAACAGTTCCCCCGAGCTGGTTCATAAACCACTCAAAATTTTGTATCTGTCAATGGGGTCTTGTTACATAATGAGATGAAAAATCGATTAAAAAAATTACAAGTTTGACCTCGTTTATAATTTCATATTGTTACTGCAGATTCCTCTAAATTGGAGGGGGGAAAAACAAGGAGGAGGAGGAGGAAACATAGCCTCTGGGTCATCCTACTCGTGGCTTTGAGCCTTGTGGTGGTAAGCATCCGACAAGTGGAATCAAAAATTGCTTATTTTCCTTTCTCCCAAGTCTTTCGAATTTAAAAATTCTAGGGTTGGTTTGGATGGCTTTCATAATTAAAACCATGTTTTAAAAAAAATCCAAACACCTCTATACATATCAAAATTAATTAGGAACCCAAAACCAAACACTTCTATGCATGCTAAAATAAATTATGAACCCAAAACTATGGTTATCTATTCAGTTATTAAACACTCTTATGGATATTTTTCGAGAAAACTATGATTTTGCGTCTTAGTTGCTGTTTGGAACGAATTTATTATCAACTACAAATAACAAAAAATCAATTTTTTTAAAAAAAATAATTGAACCAATATTGAGAATCAAATCCAAAGGTATTTATTTAGTTCAATATCCATGTTCAACGTGCTACACAAATACTAAACAAAATATCAGAATAAATGGGGGTTAGTGCCTACTATTTACGATGATTCTGGATGGGATGTAACTTCCATATTTGACCAAACATTATTTATTAAAAATAAATAAATGGACTTATTGAGGGTGGCTGGGGATGTGGCAACTGGTAAGTATGATTATCAAGCACAGGTAAACAATTTTTTTTTTGGGAGGGGGGGTTTCCTTTTCTTATGTCACTTATCATAGTTAAAGAACTTATAGGTATTTTATTTTTTTTAATGTAATAAAATATGAATAATCTGCTTTTCAACCTCATTTGGGATTATAGAGGGGTCCAGATCCTCTCAGCGTCTTATTTCTCAGCATCCCTCAAAATCCTAAAATCTTTACCGTCCAAATGATCTAAAGGCTCACTGTGCATCATCCATTCATCCTCAACCTATGACTTCTCTCTCCTCTTCCGACTCCGACTCCCTCTCAATCCCAACCAGCTGTTGCGGCCTGCCCTTCACATTTCCCTCCTACCACTGCAATCGCCTCCTTCCACTACCATGCTTTCCCTTATCAAATAATTTTTTAAAAAGAAAAATTAATATTAATGATTAAAGATTAATCAAAATCAAAATATTTGCACTTTGATTGTGACTGGGACCTGGGACCTGGGACCTGTAACTTCTCGCTCCCAATTCGAATATGAGAATGAGGTAAAAGTTGAAGACTGCGATAGACAAAACAGCTTCATGCATTTTTGGATTCATGGTTATTAAGCAACTCAAGTGTAAATTATAAACCTTAAACAAAACTTCACTCAACTCTCTCCCTTAGCCATTTATAATGAAGATTTTAGAGGCAGATAAATATAATATAAGAAATGCTCGATGCTCGTATTTATGGCTGCCATCAGAACAAAATGTGGCAACCAACGAGGTATTGCCTGCTAGATTCATGTCCCCTTCACACTCCCAAGACACATCTACCACTTCGACTGCCTCCGTCTCGGTCTGTCTTTCTTTCTTCGGTTTGCTTGCCTTCTTGGGAGTTGAAAGAGGAGAGAGAAGCAAAAAGTTCAGGATGGTGCACTTTGAGCCTTTGGATTATTTGGACGGCAAGGATTTCAGGATTCTGAGGGATGCTGAGAAATAAGACGCTGAGAGGATCTGCTTCCATTATAGAGACACGAATCTAATCAAGGGTACGGTGATAGAGACATGAATCTACTCCTCTTTCTTAGGGGGCAAAATATTATCCTCTTACACTCATAACAACTATGATACTCCTTTTATTTCTTTTATTTTATAAAGTAAAATTTTGATGGTTTTGGGGTTCTTATTGACACTGCACTTTTTTTAAATAAAAATATAGGCAGTAATTAGTAGCTTTTTCTGAAACTACCCTTTTGGCCTTTTACAAAATGGTGCTTTTAATTGAGGAAGAATATCCAATTAAGATTATAAATATGAGGTAATTTTAAAAACATGGTGGTTGTCTAGGTTTATGTAAAGTATATGTAAATTTTATCTTGCAAAAAATAACCAACAAATATTGATCTTAGTAGAATGAACTGTGGCGGCTTAACCACACAAGCAATTACAGTGCTTTTTTCACCTCTTGTATCTCACTCAAAACAAGATAATAATAATCATCCTCAAATAACTTGTTACTTTTTCTTAGGGTCCGTTTTGTGTGAGGGGAACGGAGATAAAGTGAGGAGAGGAAAAATTTTAATGAACACGATTTAAAAAAACTGAAGAAATGAGGTTAAAATCTCTTTATTAATTTTTATCACCCTTTTATCTTACACCTGTTTTTATTAAAATTTAAAACCAAGCTTCTCTAATTTTTTTAAATCAGACTCGTTAAAAAATTCTCTCTCCTCCTCTCCATTTTCCTCTTACCAAACATAGGGTTAGACATTAAAAGCGAAAAAAAATTATTGTGACTTAGCTTGTTCCTTTTATTTATTTATTTTTTTTTGGTGAAAAGCTTGTTCCTTTTATTATTGAGCAAAAGGATCATTCAAGATTATAAATTTATCTTTGGTTTTTTTCCCAGTCAAGTTAAATCAACGGAACACGATTCTTGTCGGCCATTCCAAAGATTTGATTTGCTTTTGTCTTTTTATTAACATATTAACTATATTATATTACCTAATACATTAACGATTTTTATGGCAGAATAAATTTTACTCATGTGAAGAAATTACACTAACGCGTCCTAATGCGTCAGCGAGTCATTCGAAAATCATTCATCATGAGCCAAAATCTGTCATATGTAGGGGTGTTCATCAAGCCCGCTAGCCCAGTATGCCCGCCCGAGCCCGCAAGAAAATGGCCCTGCCCAGCCCGGAAAAAAAATAGCCCAAAGAAAAATGGGCATTTTTGGGCTGGGCATATTATGGGCAGGGCAGGGCTGCGGGCATGGTATGCTGCCCTGCCCATTTGGCCCTGCCCGTGATATATATATTTATAATTCTTTTTTTTTTTGCCAAAAATACTTATAATAATATATAATATATATTATTCTCCCCTCTTTTATTTGCCATAAATACATTTAGTGGTATGCGTAATTCTTCCTTCTTAGTATCTTTTTAATTTTTTTTAATTTGGTTTAGTATCTTTTAGTTTGTTTTTATTGTTGGTTGTCTTACAAAGATGCAAAAGCAAGCTCACTTTAGTGTTATATTAAAAGATATATCAATTTAAGACAAAGCAAAGTTATTGATTTGTTGAATTTATTGTTTATTCAAGTATTTATTTCTTTATAATTGTTATAAGATACCTTTACTTTAATTAAAAAAAATTTCACCAAGGTATCACTATTTGGGCTTGGAAGCCCGCCCTGCCCAGCCCGTTATTGCCCAGCCCGAAAATGGTTAGGACTTCTATGGGCAGGGCAGGGCAGCGGGCCGCAAAATGCAGCCCGCTCATTTTTCGGGCTGGGCATCGGGCAGGGGGCATGCCCTGCCCAGCCCTGCCCATGAACACCCCTAGTCATATGTTCTATTAATTTTAGTATTAGAGCTTCAATGTGCTCATATATTCTTCTTAGCTAGTGAGAGTGCTTTTTTAGTGAAAATATTTCTTCATCAACCATTAAAAAGTAAAGACGAGATATCTATTCACCAAAAGAGGAAAAAAGAAGAAGAGTGAGATATCTCTTGAGGCGCGTTGTAACTTGTATATGAAAATGATTACATATAATAACTCACAAGTACCAATTTAAACTTGTGAAAAATAATAAAACAAATCTCAAGTGGTTTGTTATAGAATTGGATGTAGGCTAAAGCAAAAGAGCTGAATTAAGATCAATCACAGTGGTTTCCTTCTATCCCTTAACTCTTTACATTTGTG